CACCGCTGCTGGAACACCACCAGGATCGCGACCGGCGACGGCGTGACACTTTTATGACGTCATCGGGAGGAAACTGAAAGAACACTTTTTCGGACGCCGTGAACGCACCAGTCGCAGACGCGTTCCAGGCAGTGTAGTTCAAGTTGTCAGGGATCTCGGATCTGGTAGGCTTTGATCTGATTTATAATCTTTGTGATATCAACGTGACTTTTTTATTTGATGAACGGTGCGAAATGAGTGATGGTAGTAATTATACTGGGTAAAAATCGTGATATAACAACAAAACATTTTGTGAAAAAAAAAAAAAATTGCGATCGTGACATGACGCGACATTGTAAAGACTTGGCGACTCAGATGTTATAATGTGTAAATCAGCATCGATATACGTCTACATTTTGTTTTGTATATATTTAAATAGCATCGTTACTGTTTGTGCTTTCAGCTTTCTGGTGAATTCAGTTTATTTATTTATCTATTTTTTGCAGTTGTGTTATTATTTTTCTTTTCACTGATGATTGTCGTTCGGAGCTGCTCCTAACAACAGTCGCGTGCCGGACTTTCTAAAAATTCTTGGACTTTCTAGATATATATTCTGCAAAACCAGTGTTTTTTGTTTGTTTTCTTCTTTATTTTGTATTGGTACACACCGAGACACTGTCAGCACGAACACGACTTCAGCACCTTTCACATTCGAAATAGAACAGTAGATCTTGGTAGTCGTCATATTGTACAGGGTTAGTGCAACAAATTACCACCCTCCACCACATTACAGTTGGTTTCGTGAAAACCATTTGATTCTTGGAGATTTTCTGGAAAAACCGGCGATCGCTTGTTGACGGTAACTGTGTCGTACTGTGTAATACTTTGCATTTCTTTACCTGTGTACGAGATTTGTCTTTTATATATTAATGGAAACTTTCTTTTTAGTGTGTGGGAGGGGGAATCTGTCAAGGGGGTGAGAGGCCTCGTCAGACATCGCAATTTTACTCTCTGCCAAACTCCTTATAACTCGGGTCACGAATAAATAAAAAGAAAAAAAAAGAACCAAATTTCCGCTTTACGCCGGCAAGCTGGCTTCTCTGCAGGGGTATGTTTCTTGTGGGGAAGCCATGATCTCCTTATCATGACTCTGTCGCAGTGTTGCCAGGTCTACTGATTTATCAGTAGATCTACTGATTTTGTTCCGGGTCTCCTGATTCACTGAAAAAAAAAAAAAAAAAAGAAAATCTACTGACTTTTTTTTGTAAACATATTAAAATTTATTATGGCCCCATCAGTTCCTAGGGTCACCCGGCCATCAAAGGTAACTCATAATCTCCCAGAATTAAAAACGAAGCACTGGCTAGATGGCCCAGAAGCCCGTCCTATATTCGAGTGACTTAGCCGTATATTCATCTATTTATTCACCCAAAGCAGGTTCGACGGTTCAACGTTACGTTGGACGGTTCGACGGTGACATCCGGGCCAGAGCCATATATGGTGAGAGTTTGGCCAGTCTATGATCTCGCCGCAGTAACGCCCCCCTCCCAAGTGAGCCAATCAGCCTGCGGCGCAGAGCGAGAGGCGTGAGCGCATGCGCGTGAACTCTCGGCTGTTCCCAGCCATATGCTCCCAGCTGAGGGTAGAGGGCCGCCATTTTCATTAATTCGCCCGGCGGAATGCATGGGACCGACATCCAAATCTTGGTTCTTTACTTTTATTTGGCAGGCTCTGGCAAGAAAATGATATAATTAATGTTAATCCTCGGTGGCTTAAGAAGCTAACGAACTAAGGTCCTCCACGTTTGAACGCAAACTTTCAGTCAGGAGAAAAAGAAATAAGCCCGTAGCAGACGACGCGTAGCCTCAGCAGTGCTCCGCGCCGACAGAGTTGCGTCAGGAACCTTCCACAGCCCAGTAAGGAAAGATGGCAGCTTGCAGAGGACTTCCATTGAACATGTACGCGCGCACTTGCCGGAACGTCTTGTTTTGTTTTCGTTTCGAAAACAGCGACAGGTGGATGTCGCACTGTCGCCCTCATCTGTTGATTCCAAAAGTGGCTCAGTCTCGATTTCAAAGAATAATCCTAGAAATCACCACACAAATCAATTACTCTATACTATTTCTTCGAAGTGTGGTTTAATGGAAAAAGGAAAACATGGCAAAACACAGATTTCGTAGAATCTACTGATTTTTGAGCAAATCTACTGACTTTTTGGGGATGAATCTGCTGACTTTTTTTTTTCTCCGTCTGGCAACACTGCTCTGTCGTCACCAGTGGTCGGCAATTTTGGTTAAACTCACTTACTCACAGCCTGTTCAAGATCAAAGGTTAAAAACTCACTCGCCGTCATCCTCACGGTCGCACTCACCTTCAAAATCTTACCGACGAACTCATGAACTTACCGAACTTACGCTCGTTGCCGAACTGACCGGACTCACAAACTCTCCGAATTCGTGAACTCACCGAACTCACGCCCCCCACTCAACCTCGTGAGATTGTGAGGTTTTCAAACTCACTCACCCTCAGATTACGCCTGATGGGTGAGGGTGAGTGAGGTAAATGAGTGCACTCATGAGTGAGCTTTTGCCGAGGTATGGTCGTCAAACGTCTTCTGTCACTTCCCACACCAAAGAAAAAATAAAACAAATTTGGGCATTTAAGGTTTTCAGTTGATTACCTTTTGCTATTATATATTTTGGTGAAACCCTCGGACAGAGACGTCGCTTCTTATTGGTGTAATGCGACCGTCTTACGGTCAATGTTTTTTTTTTTTTTTTTTTGCGTTCCTGATGAGACGGGTGCATTTTGGGTCCGGGCTTTTGGGTTGGCCCGTGCAGGGTTCTAAGCCACACCCTGGATTTTTCAAGCTGTCAGTAACCACGGTGTATCAAAGTGTGCTCACGTGGCTCCCTAACATGAGTGGTAGATGTTCTGATTCTACACTAAACTCGCGAATAAGCACGAATCTCGGGTCGGCTCTGAGTCGTTGCGTGTACACATGGTATCGGCGACGTGCGCGATCGAAAGCGTCGCTGTGGTCGGCCTTCCATGAATAGCCGAATGCTGAATATGACGTCAGCAAAGGCTTTCTCATCGACGGAAATAACAGTGATGTAAAACTTCAATTTTGACGGTGTTTGCAGTGTTAGTTTCAGAGCGCAATGATTTCAAGCTTCCGCCATGCTTATTATAAGCACCATCAAACTTGTTGTTCGCAAGGTAATGACGTCACGAGAGGGAATCACAGGAGGGCGCCACCAAAACATCTCGCCGCTAATACTACTCCGCTTCCCCATAAACAGAGACTGCAGTCGATGCCACAAGCACGAGAGCACGAGATCGCAGCGTGGATACTTTTTTTTTTTCGCGGAACGAACTATCACGCTAAAGGGGTATTCACACCAGGGAGAAATCCCGGGGATTTCTCCCTGGCACGCGCATCTCACCACGAAAACGTCAGGCTTTGCGATGTGCAAAAGCCTCGCGTTTTCATTTCGTAATGCGCGCGTGCTGAGGAGAAATTCCCGGGATTTCTCCCTCGTGTGAATACCCCTTAAGGCACAAAGCCAGAAGCGCAGGCTACTTTGTAATTGTAGCTTTCACTGCAGTCTCAAGTTAAGGGTGGACGGAGTATAGACGCTTTAGACACGCGCCAGATTGAGCCGTCATTGTCGACCTTTACTTATCTTACCGAGATGCCGAGGCACTGAAGCGGGCGTTGACGAGCCTCCACCAAGGCCTATGCTCGGGAGAAGGACATAGTAGCACCTGAAGTCGAAATTACCTCTGCTGCTGTGGCAATGATGAAGTGAGGTGAACGTAATAAGAGGAAACAAAACCTGAATGTCGGTTATGGCGGCGCCAATGCACAGCTGCCTGAAAGCGTCTATAGTCGCCCGGCTTTGGAGATCGAAGGCTGTCTACTCGCCTGATCTGCTGTGGGTTTATTTTAGTGGCGCCTGCGCAGGATTAGGCGTCTACGTATTCATTCATAACCAGCCTCGACCGCACGTTTTCGTCAGAAAACTGTAACCTCAAAGCATTGGGAAAATTGCGTCGCGATATCAGGTAGCGCGAAACAAATCGGCTGAATCACGTGACACACCAGTCTGCTTCTAGCATGTCTCAAAAATAACAGTGCAAGTAGGGAATCCACACAAAGACACGTCACCACAGGCCACAAAAGCATTCACACTTAGGGACACAATCATAGCAGACAAAACACTCACACAGCGCTGACTCACAACTCAATCTCTATTTTTGCACTTCTTTTTTTTTCAACGCCTTTTCGATACATTCTAAAGCTCTAAAGCAGACCATATAGTCAACATCGTTTCTCAGCGCGAGGAGAGTGTTGTTTAAGAATGCAGACCAATTCAAATTACGGCAGGAAACAACACGAGAAGTGCAGTGTTTACTAATGCAACGTCCGCCACTCTGGTTCAGTCATTTGAGTTTAAGCGTTCACCACTACAATTTCCCGGTAAATTTAGTGGGAAATTGCTTGTTACTCTTTTTCAGACGTACTACGTTTGGGCGTGCTCCTGAAGATTAAGTAAACTGCCCCGTAGTCCGCTATATACCTTCTGGGGGGAAGGGGGGGGGGGGGGAGGGACCGGTGGCCGAGTGGTCTAGCGCACACCAGTTCGGAGCACGTGGAGCGAAAGCTCGCGCTGCAGAGCCCAGGGATTCTGGGCTCAATCCCCACCCTTGCCCGTTTCGATCTGGATGAGCATCGTACCGGCGTGCGGCCGTGTTTCACTACTGCGTGGTATACGCTAAAGACCCCAGGCTAGCGGTTGTACCGCACTGGCTATATTTCTCATCTACAGCTGGGAGACTCGTCGCCCGTTGAGGCAGACCAAGTTCTAGGCTGTATAAACATACACACAACACAATTATATACCATCTGGGAGGCAGAAATTTCTTCCTCAGTTGCTAAAATATGCTGATGTTCAGCTCACTCACAGAATACGCTGCTACTACACGTCCCACGTTTTCGTGCTTCTTTACCTCAGGTTCAGGTCTCCTGGGGTCGACGAGCAACGAGTGAGTGGCATGGCCGTCCGTGGTCTCAAGATCCTCGCTTGCATCTGCCTGGTGAGGACCACATCCACTTGAGGCTACTTTAGGTGCGATCATATATTTTAATAGAGAGGGAAATTAAACGTAAGTGGAGTTGTAATTTGAACCGCGCCCACGTCACCGTCGCGTCGCCATTGTGGAACTCGTACCGCCCCGTCATCAGCTAAATGGAGCAGCACAGCTTCACGTTAAATTTAGCAAAACGTCATTGCCGGTCACCTGTCTCGTACCACTACTGATCCAGTCGTCATGTGACTACTCAATTTACTTGGAGCCACGCCAGGTCACGTGACGTCACAATACGATGTCGTGGTGTCAGGTGACCTGACGTGTCGCTCTCACGCTGCCCAGACTTGCGTGATACATTTTGCATGTGGAACGTTTAGGCGATGGATCAAACCTAGGGCCTAATTATTTTTACTAGGCAGCTTTCCGCTTTCTTCAGAACACAACAATGGGCTGCTCCCCCCCGCATCCCCATATTTCCCTCCCGTCTCATCAGCCAGTCAGCGGCATGCGTTTACAAGCTGTTTTTCAAACGAATTTATTCGCTCGAGCGCCATATGTTTGCGTAAGGACAAATGAAAGGGCAGACGCACATCGGGGTGCACAACGGGTTTCATCTATTGCCTACGCTTATAGACGCGTTGCCGTCTTTGTTCTAGCGGCTCGATGGCTAAAATTTTCTCTGCTGTTCGTTATGGTTCTTTTGAGAATGGTGCTCTTCCGTGCTCGAGTTCGCGTAGAAATTTTCGTTGTCTTGTCGTTGTCTTCACAGATGTCGCTCCCGGGATCTGTCTGGGCCGTCCGCATCTCGCAGATCTGGGCCAACAGCACCGCACTCCAGGTGCGCTACGTCTGAATTGGAGCCATACCGACCATGATACAAATAAATTAAGAGCGAGAGAGGAGGCCATAGCAGGGCGTGGGGGCGGCAGAACGACGAGCTCTGATTGGAAGCACTGTACTTCCTGTCAAGATAAGTCCAGATGTAGCCGACGCTATAGGAGGTAACGGGACTAATCAGTGAAAGTCAAAAGTGCAAGCCACTAGACTTTTGCTGTTTATGATTGGTTCAGCGATCTCGCGTTCGAACATCGGGCGCTGGTGTTTGCCGTTCGAATTCGAGCGTTTGAAAAGTGAGTAGAGACGAAGATGGCCAGTCTTTTTTGATCCACCCACTAGTCACCCCATTTATAACTCGGCGTTTTGACGCCCCCCGCCCGTTCTCATTTCGTCCTCTCCCTCAGTTCATTTCCGTATAGACCATTTCAGTGCTGAGGGCAAGTTTGTCTGCTTCTTGCTCAGAGGTCGCCATGATGTCAGAACGCCAAGCTCTTATTGGCTGTTTGCAAAAAATAGTGGGTAGACCTTACGGCGTCTAGCATTGAGGTCTACCCACTACCCTTTCAATCCAAGCCAATCGGAACTCGGCGTCGTCCTGACGTTACCGCAACCCCTGCGCACGAAGCAGACCACTTGCACTCCACATAACCGCCCTTCGCGCGCCGCCATCTTGGTCTAGCTACTGGTCTGTGAAACGCGGTATGAACATGTGCAGTATACCCTCCTTCGCGAAATATGAGACACTGCGCTTGCGTCCACAGGCCAGTGACTCAGCATTTTTGGTCTGGGCGATGAGCGCCGGAACTGTGTCAGGTATTAGGATTGAAGAGAGCATAAACAGGTAAGAGAAAATAAGTGGTTGCGTTGTCTTTGTCTCACATGTTTACTCTTTCTTCAATCCTGACGCGCTCCGACACGCTCTTCGTCCATTCATGAAGGTGTATAGCCGAGCCAATCTCAGCCGCCGCTGCGCAGGTGCACTGGCGTCCCGGCGGCGGTCGCTTCTGCCTGTGCCACGCGACGGCCGAGCACTTCCAGCAGGGCCTGAGCTCGTTCGACTGCATCCCGTACCACCGGGAGTCGCGCTGCGACATGTCGGACTTCGGCAACTGCTCGGGCACCACATCCGGGGGCCTGAGCTGCAGCGCCCAGAACGCCTCGGCGGGACCCTCGGTGCTCTCGGGGCTCAGGCCTGGCATCACGTACGCCTTCTGCGCCATCGACGGGAACCCGCTGGCCGCGTCGGGCTTCGACGACCACGCTCTCTGCACCCGCACCTGGACCATGGACTCTGGTAGGATTCGATTATGTCGGATATTTTCTTTGTAACGGGTGAACCGAGGGGTCCTGCTCTGCAGCAATCGAAGTATGGCACGCACCGCATAAGCTACACTTATGCGGCATGTGCAATTGAGTTATACGGCAAGGGTACATGGCACAGGGGCTAATCGTAACGATAACTTGCGAATTAAGTATATTTTGTTAAATATATCTTTAATTATCGAAAATAGCCACATGATTTTAATTAGAAACTAGCTGAGCGTCATCGAAAATAAATAAATCTGTAATTTTTAGAAATACTTTGAGCGCGTGGGAAGCGTAGTGGTGCGCTAAAGTTACCACTCGTGCAGCAGGTACAAGGCTGGGGCTATGATAGGGGACGGAAAAATTGCGCGGACGCGTTATCGCACCTGTAACCTTGCTCGTCCTCACTAGCTCTGTCTTTTTAAAAATTACTGATTTAGGGGTTTTCAATGACACTCAGTTAGTTTATATTTGGATGGAAATGTCTATTTTCGCAAAATAAGATGTTAATTAATATTTTTACCTAATTAGCCGACTGATCATTCGATTACCCCTCTATACTATGTCCCCCTGGCCGTATAGCTTACTGCACAAACCGCATAAGCGTAGATTTCACGACTATTTTTAAACAAATCTGTTAAACTGAAAAAAAAGACACCCCGTATATGGTGATTATGTTATTGGTGCAAAGCACTAGTGGTTTCCCCTTTATAATTTTTACATATTCGTAAGATTTGTTCGTGTAAAAGGACAAGTTCATTATACTGGGTGTATCCAAGGAGCGGCCAGGCTCTTCAAATCGACTGCAAAATTTGGTTTCTTATCCTATTGCGTTCCGATCTCGTACAGCGTTGGCCACAGGTGGTGCATTTTTTTTTTTTTTTATAAAATTCGCAAAGAGCGATCTTATAGTTCAAACCATAGGGCGACCTATGGTTTGAAGACCGGTGGCTTCGCTGCGTTTCCATAGGAGTTGAGCCTTTTTCTTTTTTTACTTTTTCCTCAGTAAGTTGGAGAGGAAGAAGTGCATCACCCAAAACGGTCAAGAGTCTGTCCACAGCCGAGTGGAAGTACTGGTCAAGAGAGACTAAAGAACTATCAAGAAACCTAAAAAAAAACAAAAAAACCTTGCTTACATTAAAACACTCAGGTGGTCCGAAAAGACTGTCATGATGGGCTAAAAATAGATCACTTAAAATTGGCGCTGAACACTAGCCGATACAAGATAGACGCCATTGTTCCCTTCCGCAAAGCATAAGAAGAAAGCAATTCTAAAACGTCATTCATTGTCATGCCAGTTGGATTTTTATTTTGAAATGCTACTACCCGTAACTATCATCAATACATTCCTCCACACAACTTAGGAGCCTGTCATGTGGCAAGAAGTAGCATGGATCCTTTATGTCAAATGATCAAGATAAAAAACAAACACACAATGATTTTGTTCGTCTTCAGAAATTCTGCAACCTCGTTGGAGCTCTTGACGAGAAGAGGGTCGTGAAAGCTTAGGGTTTTCAGTTCCTCTAGCAGAAAAAGTGCAATAAATTTCTGACATGAACCATGCTCTGAAACTATCACCCCCAAAGGACAGTTTACTTAGTGAGCTTTTGCACTAAACAATATTTGCAAGCAACCACTATTGCTGTTATCAACTCTTTTTTTTTGCAAAGCGGCAAAACTTTAACATTTCGCAAAGATTCTTTCCCTCCTCTTTTAGCTTTTTCACATCAGCCAGCAGACACTTTAAGTAACATACCATATTTTAAAGTGGCTTAGGTGACCTTTTAAGAAAGCTACCCATATGAACACGATTCCCTTTTAAACATTGGTCGCAGAGCTCAACTTCCGGGCCTCGGTGTACTCGAACTTCATGGTGGGCTTAAAGTGGCGCATGGGCAACGAGACCGAGCAGCTGCTCAACGTGCGCCTGTGCAGCTCGGCCGACGGCTGCGAGTTCGCCTGCAAGGACAACCTTATCGACGTGCGCCGGGAGAAGTTCGTCGCCTGGGCCGACCTGACCACGCAGAAGTTGAGGATGCAGGTCCGCCGCACCGACGGCGCCCTGCTCTACGAGAACGTCTTCGACTCGCGCAAGGAAAGTACGTACACGCGCTGAACGCCTCCTGGAGAGCGAGACTGTACTGCTGAATGTTCTGCGACGACGGCTGAAGGCCAACGTGGGGAACACAGATTGGACGCGAGTGCTTCCTCATCGTTCGGCTGGTGCTCGTGTTCAATCACTCAGAGAACGCGTTCCAGTTGAACGCTGACGAACATCTGTATTTAGTGTGTGAACTCCGCAGTCGCACTAGCCTCTGTAGATGATGTAGAAGCTTCAGCACTACGGCTCGGCTGTAGCACTACGGCTCCGCTGCCAAGAAGTTTCTGGCGCAAGTGGTACTGTCGTGCTCGAGGAAACGAGAGCATTTGGGTGTCCACTGCGTCGTCCCGGTTCCCTCGGAACACGGATAGACCGATTGCACCACGGCCAAACTGGATTCGCGTGATTATTTTTTTTGAATATATATATAAACCGTTTCATGAAAAGAAAAAGCATGCACCTCTTTTTGCTTGGTGGCGCTGCGACACACCTATTTTCGCTGTTCCACCCTGATGCTCAACGGGTTCTGCCTCGCGTGACTCGATGGTTGTGTCCCAAATTGCAAGGCGACATCGGTGAAGACTTCTGGAGTGTCGTTCCACCAGCGTTGCATGGAGCGGCGTTCCAATGAACGGCGTTTCTGGAACGGGTTTTCTTTCGAAGAAACGAAGGATCGCCGCTGTTGCATCTTGCATCACTGTATCTGAAACAAAAAATTGTTACGTTTTCAGTAAAAAGAAGCAGGAGGAAGGGCTTGTTCTTACATATCTGCAATTTTGTCTGAATTTATTAGGCATTTGGGTCTTTTCTTGTTGACTTGATCAACGTCCAACTTCAAGGATTGGGGACGTGTTTAAGAGATTGTCGAAGACAAAGAACAGGAACAACTATGATTGTGGCGTCACGACATGTAGTTCGATATGAATAGTTTCACTTGCTCGCCATACCTGCATTATCCTGCGCATTATTTAATCAAAATACGAGAATGTAACCTTAATGTAACGACAAGTTCCAATCTTAGACGCGTTCCTTTCGAACCACTGGAACTTGTAACGGGAACTCTTTCTTATATCGATAAGGAACCAGAAATATGCTTTCGGTTCTGTTTTGTTGGAGCGTGTACAACACTGATTTTAACAAGGTTCTAAAAGGTGAATCGCTAACCACCGCGTGAAAGAAGGAGATATCAAACAAGCACCTTGTTGGCATCGATAAATATAATCTACGGTTGCTTGCAGCAGGCAATTTAAACAGAGGTACTATGTACCGAGATGCCGCATAAAGAGGCTAGTCCCTGTAACTGTGCCCACAGCGTTCGATGGGTCTTCGATTGGCCAGATGCCTGCTCCCAAGAAAGCCCGAAGAGAACTCGTTTTGAAGCTATCGGCACCTGCCCCGAAAAACAGAAAGCGAAAAATAGATGTTTTAGCTCCTTAAAAAGATTGATCAAAGTTTGAGCAAGATAACCAAACAGCTCCCAAGCACGCGGTCCTTTGACTGCATAGCTCTATGGCAGCATAGCCACAGAAAGTTGTCCTCGGGTATAATAGTGACACCTTTTACGGCCGCGCATGTGCCCAGTTCCCGGCCGCCCATTGGCGCTTCCCGCCAACTATGTAGCAGTGTCCCATTGCAACTATAAGTGCCGTTGTGCCTCACTGAACAGGCCTTAAGACAGCGAGCGCGTATCCAGTCCGGTAGTGATCTCTTGAGCCAGCTCGGCTACACCAGTGCTGCCGCAATGCATCGAGGGAACTTCAGTATTTCTGCACGTACAACACCCTTGCTGGAGCACTGCGCGTGCACAGGGCGAGACTGCACGGGCTGTCTCGCGGAATGCCGCATGCCTCCCGTGGTCCAAAGTTATAGCGGTGCCACGCATGCACCGTGTGCTTGGTGAGATCGGTCTAGCGCCTCTTCTCATTGACTTGTAAGGAATGTTGCTACTCGTCTTAGCGCTGCATTCCCACCGGCGTCCGAATCGCAACCGCGCGGGGGATCCGCCTGGTTTCACCATCAAATGCGCGTTACCTTGTTTTGAATCTTCAAGCAACCGAGTTCAGAACCGCTTTGTGGATGCGGTTGAAGCGCCAGTGGGAATGCGTCGTTAGAATGTACAAGGAAATACTACTTTCCTGGAGCGCGTGTCTGCACCTGAGAAATCAAAGAAAGCATGGCGCCTCAGCTGGGGCCTCATGCACCCATGCCTGCAATCGACTGAAGCGTGTGGGCAACCTGGCGATTCCAAGCGGTTGGCCCAGGCTGCCCCTCCGACAATCATAAGTGGTCATCTTGGCCACGAGGGGGCCAAGGGCAACTGGCCACGCGAGCGGCGCTCCGCCGCTGATAAAAGGCCGTCGCAGCGGATGCGCGGGGGCTGTTGGGATCCCGACTTGGTGGCACTGGCCAATGCGGCGCCCATCACACCAGAGTCGCGGTGGGGAACCCTGGTGAGCAGAGAGGAGCTCCGAGCGGCCCAGCTGTCCGATGGACTTTGTCAGAAGGTGATGCACCAGCTGGCAGAAGAAAACTCAGCCGACGCTGGGAATCCCAGAGACTTGGACTCATACCTGCTCAGCAGCGACGGCATCCTGCTGCGATACATCCCCCAGGCGGACGATGGGTCCAGCGGCCCGCCATTCCGGTCTGTAATACCACGTAAACTGCGTAAGTCATTTATAAGATATATGCATGATCCCGCCTTGGCAGGCCACAGCAGTGGGAGCAAAACGTACGAAAAGTTGTCCCAAATTGCAACGTGGCCAGGTATGAGGCAGGATGTGATGAGGTACGCTCGTAGCTGCCCGGTTTGTCAGAAGGCAAAACCCCGAGGTGGCCAACCACCAGGTTTAATGCAGTCGGTCAAAAGCAAGTACCCCTGGGAGTGTGTTGCCTGCGACGTTGTCGGTCCCTTTCCCCGTAGTCCACGCGGCAATCAGTATTTGCTAGTAGTGACCGACCATTTCACAAAATGGGTCGAAATGTTTCCTTTGCGCAAACTAGACTCTAAGAAAATCTGGGACTGTCTTCTCGAGACGTTCGCGCGCTTTGGCTTTGCCGCAACACTTATTACAGACAACGCTTCTTATTTTGTTAGCAAGGTGTTCGTGGATGCGTGTAAGGCGCTAGGCATACGGCACAAACGGACTTCGCCCTACCATCCACAGGCGAATATCACGGAAAGAGTGAACCGTAACCTGAAGCAGATGCTTGTATCGCATACAGAGCGACACAAAGACTGGGACGCGAAATTAGCAGAAATGGCATTCGCTACCCGCACAACAATCAACCGGTCCACGGGTTTTACTCCGGCCCAACTTAACTTTGGAAAAGAGCTCGTGTTTCCCCTGGGAAACGGCCTCCTTTGCACAGATCCTGCAAGCACGCAGCGCACAACCACGCAGTTCGCAGAAGATCTCCGGAAGCGTTTCACGGAGAACCTGCGTGAAGCTCGAGAGAGCCTCGACGTCTCGAGACTGCAGCAGGCAAACCAGTACAACAAGGGGAGGCGAAATCTGCAGTTCAAGGTAGGAGATCTGGTACTGAGGCGAACTCATCCGCTGAGTGATGCTGCTAGAGGCTTCACGGCCTCTTTAGCAAAGAGGTGGGATGGCCCCTACCGTGTTAGTAGCAAGCTCTCCAACCTGTCTTATGAGCTGGTGCATTGTGAATCTGGTGAAGTGTGCGGGTCTATTCATGTCGCCGACCTAAAAGCTTTCTATGAACCCGAGGAGGTAGATGTGTCGCAGGTTCCAGATGACGACTATCCGGACCACCTCTCGGAAGATTCCACACCGTCTCTACCGCGGTACAACTTGAGACGGCGGTGAAGACGACCGGGAGTAGCACGAGTTCTAAGCGTATTATCTTCATGCCCTCTTCGGTGTTTTGGGGGGGGGAGAAGAGAAATGGTCCGCGCTCCCGCATGCACAGTGGGACAGGCATCTTTCGTGTGCGCGGCTACTTTTTCCTACCGCGCCATGGCCTCATGTTGTTTTTAATTTCTAGTTCCTCGTGCCAGACAGCGGCGACGCAGCTCCCATCATCAGACCACCCCCCATGGCTGCATCGGTACTGTCCGGAAGTACTGACGTCGGACCCGTGCTCGCTCATCTGAGAAGACCCTTGCTGACCAAGAAGGAAGGCCCCCCCGAAGACCATCAAAGACGTCCTCTGTTTTCGTTTTTGGAAGGGGGGAGATGTGTGGGCAACCTGGCGATTCCAAGCGGTTGGCCCAGGCTGCCCCTCCGACAATCATAAGTGGTCATCTTGGCCACGAGGGGGCCAAGGGCAACTGGCCACGCGAGCGGCGCTCCGCCGCTGATAAAAGGCCGTCGCAGCGGATGCGCGGGGGCTGTTGGGATCGCGGCGCAGGCGATAGCGGTCATTAAATGTTTACGTGTTGTTGAACCGGTGTGCTGTGTCATTCTCCGAGACGGGTAGCAGCAAGGGAAATCCCACAAGCGTGCTCGTGAAGTTACCTTTGGCGCCAGCTCCGTGTTAAGCCGCTCGATGTATTGGCGTTTGTCTTGCTTGTAGCGTCAAATGTGCCACTCAGGGCCGGATTAAGGTAGGGGCTAAGGGGGCTGCAGCCCCGGGCCCCCGACTCTCTGGGGGCCCCCCTGCAGCTCGTAGAAAGAAAAACAAAAAATCCGACATTTAAAAGTATTTTGGAAAGCGATGTTGCTTTGCCGCAGCATTCGAGAAGAGGGAACGCGCACCTCGCGTAGCACGCCCCTGTCCCTGTACAAAGCCGGCCCTTTGGGTGGGTGACCGGCCCCTGAGGGTGCTTGTCCGCTTTCCTTTGAAAGTGGCTTCGAGCAAACGAAGAAAACACGCGAGGGGCTCTACAATCTGGGGTTTTCGCTCCTCTTTTCTTTTTTTATCAGGAAGGAAAATGTCATAAACACCTCCCCCTTCACCATGGTGTAAGATCATACTCTTCAGGTGAGGACAGCGCGCTCCTCGCGCAGTGCAGACTAAGTTCGCTTTTCACAC